GTGCTATAAGAATCACAGTTAGGGTTTAAGCATTCAGAAAAAACTGTAAGTGATTTAAAAATGTCAAGACATTGCTCACTGATTAGTATCTTCTTGGTTTTCATGATGTTCAGAATATTAGAAACTTAGTGTTTTAATTACCAACAGTTTAACTTCAGTGTAATCAACCAAAATCAGTTACTGCAGAGTGATGGGGCTGCTTTCAAGGGCTCCCTTAATCACACGGATTTGCCACATATTTGTTTTGGATTTTTTTTTTTAACATTTATTTTTATCCCAAATGCCCCACTGACACAGCCCTCAAGAGATCTGTGGTTCCTCCCGGGACTGCGTCAGGGGGCTTTTGCTTATTAGGGAAAGGTGTGAAAGGGAGAGTGGCTAAACTGCTGGTGCAGAGTATCAGTGCATAATCTGGTTAAAATGACAGATTAAGGCTTAAAGAGATCTATATCTATGCAGTAGTATTCACAGTTGATTTTATGTAACTACATTATTGGTTACATTGTGCTGCAAAAGAAGCAACAGCATTATTATTAAAAGGTGTTTCCCTCATTCTGTTGTTGACATTTTTATCAGGCAAGTTTTTCCAGCAGGCGATGGTGGAAAGAACGAAGGCGTGCCAAGATCTCCTCCAGAGTGGAAGGAGGAGTCAAAATACACAGCCTGAGAGAGAAGGAAAAAGAAACACACCAACACAACATTAACATATACTACCTTGAAAAAGAACAGTCACATGAAAACTACTTACATTTTAATGTGTTTAGATCACCAAGCATTTGACCTTTGGAATAGTGCCTGCATTTGCTCGATTTTACCGATTTTAAATATATACAATGAAACTAAATAGAGCCCTACATTTCATAAAGTTACAAATAAAGGATCCAGATTGTGTGCTAATTATTAGAACCTAGTTATTAGTATCTGATTAACTAGTACTTAAATAGCATTTCTTGCACTTGCTCTAACTGAGCACTCAAAGCACTTTATTACAAGACATGTTTCCCTATTCACACACATTCATATAATGCTTTAATCTGTACTAAAGTGTTAGCCAGTAAGCGTGGCTTCACAGAAAGATCTGTGAAACTGGTTTATTTTAGTATCTGTTAGTAGATATCTATGTCTTTGTGTTGTTTCCGTGCTGCTAACCAACCAGGCTAGCAATAGCTGACAACTCTGTAATATGGCCACTTCTGGCTTTAAAAAAAAAAAACAACACAGTTAGGGACTTGAATGTTAACATTGAGGCTTCAGAAACCAAAGAGTGACAGTTCGTGGGTTAACTTAATCTTTTACATACAGTTTGCTATTTAAGTCTTTGAAAAAGCTCTTTAAATAATGCGGTAGGAATGAGAATGCAATTCCAATAAAATTAAGCAATTAGCAATCAAAATCGGGCGATCGTGGCTCAAGAGTTGGGTGTTCGTCTTGTAATCGGAAGGTTGCTGGTTCGAGCCCCGGCTCGGACAGTCTCGGTCGTTGTGTCCTTGGGCAAGACACTTCACCTGCCGCCTACTGGTGTTGGCCAGAGGGGCCGATGGCGTGATATGGCAGCCTCGCTTCTGTCAGTCTGCCCCAGGGCAGCTGTGGCTACAACTGTAGCTTGCCTCCACCAGTGTGTGAATGTGAGAGTGAATGAATAGTGGAATTGTAAAGCACTTTGAGGGCCCCCAAAAGCACTATATAAATGCAATCCATTATTATTATTATTAAAAAAGACCCAAGTAAAAATGTTAATGAGATAATGGTCAGCACAACAGCATCAGCAAACTGTTTATTTTGTCTACAAATCATTCTCTACCTTTTTTCACAATTTCACAAAATCACACATTTAGGGGACTAAGGGCTAATTAAAGATCTGACTAGAAACATAAAATACAATTTTACCTGATGTGATAGTTTTTATCTTCTTGTCCATTCTCACAACCTGGCCCCACACAAATACCCTCTTCTCTCAGCAACCTCTGACAGTAAAGCACATCCGCCTTCACTCCCAACCTCTGAAATTAAAGACAGTGAAACATTGTATCAATTTATGAGTTTCACTGTTACATACAAATGCAAGCAATTAAATGCTGGATTTTTAATGTTAACTATTAATTTTTTTTACTCATATATACTGCTCAAAAAATGAAGGGAACACTTGAAAAATCCTAACTTTTCCTGACTGAAATCCTTACTTTTGGTAAGATTATAAATCTCGCTCATCCAAGTTGTGGGAGACGAAAAAATGCTTCTCCCGCTAAATTGATTCTTTCATTCACCCAAGTGACAGAAGAAGTGACTTGGGTGAGATCCAAGTGAAGAGAGATTTTTTTCTTCAGCGTGCTTTTACGTTCCCAAACTGGGAAGTCTAATGTGATGTGGGGCAGTTTATAAGTTAATTTAAACTACAGTGGGTTTTTATTTTTACATTATTTTAATCTTAGAAGCAAAGCTGTAAAAACATTCTGGATGAAATTTTACCCCTGAAATTTAAAAAAGTAGGAATGTAAAGTTCCCTGAAATCGAATTTAAAAAAACAGGCACACAATCAGAATAACATCCATATTTTTATCTTTGAAATCTCACCTTAGCCTCCTCTACCATGTGAGGTGGCAAGTGTACCCGGGGATAAAGAAAGAGTCCTGCCATTGATGGCTGACAGCTCATCCCTTCTACTCTATTCAGAAACTCACACGCCCGTTTAGCATTCTGGGAAAGAGTATCCTCAATATGATGAATCTCCTTTAAGAATAAAATAAAAATTACTGTAAGCTGGGGAGCTCCTTGAAAAACACTCATTTACTCAACTGCAGTTTTATTCAACATATTGTATCTCATATCCTCTTGGATGCTATGGCTCACTGGGTCATGCTGACGCTGCACCAATGCTGTAAATATTCACAAGACTTTGGATTCACCTAACAGAGTATATCAGGGAAAGGAACAATCACCCTGCCAGTTTAATAGTTCAAGTGTTATTGGGATGTTTACATGCCTACATGCATTGAGTTGCTGCTATGTGATTGGCTGATTAGATATTTGCATTAATAGCTGAGTCGGTGTACCTTATAAAGCATCTGCTAAATGTACCGTGACAACATGTAATGTGGATGCTGTGGCTTATGATGATAAACCAACAGCAAATCTAATTTCTCTGCAGTTTCCTTTAGTTTTGTGAATGTTAAGCTCCTTATTGCATTTTTCCTACAGCATAATTGTTTTGTCTCCATGATTACACTTTAATACAATGCATTTACCAGAGATCCTTTTTGATTAAATAGAGACGTTACCATAGGACAGTCCCCTTACCTGTGTGTATGAGTTATAGGAAGAATCTTCAGGTCTAGGTGGGTTAATACTAAGTTCCAGTGCCAGCTGTGGTAACACTGAAGCACTGGAAGCAACAGTTAAGTACTTTTTCACTGCTGGGTCAATGTTGATTACCTCCATATACCCTCCTCTCAGACCACCCCTAAACAAAGCAAGTGCAGAGTTTAATAAACAGCATTGATTAACACTGATGAATGCTCTATCATTCAGGAAAGGAAATTCCAAAAGGTTAATTGTATTGATCTGGACATTGTATTTTCAGAGGCAGAGAAAACGCTTCTCGAACTCATTCCAGTGACTCCTTCAGTCACTCAAACCAGTGACTGACTAGGATGAGTGACAGAATCAACTTTGTAGGGTGTTCTTATATTTCCATCAGCAGTCAATCTGTATATTAAAAATGGACCCTATCGAGATGCCACCCACTTTTATGCTCTGAAGCTTTAAGAAAAAGTCCATTTTAGAGTTATTATATTTGAAGGCAAAAGTGATCATATTTAGACATGAGTGTTCATTTATCAGCTAACAGTAGCAAGCTTGGTTAGAAAGTCCATAAACTGTACAGTTACATAGATATCTGCGAAATAGAGCTAACTAATAAGGACATCGGGATAATAGGGACAGTGACTAACACATGTTGAGGTTAGACATTGATCATAGAATGACACTCACTCTCCTATGTGGGCTGTGGAAATTGATTGGAAAGACACCAGCTCCATTTTCTCAGCATAAGTTGTACCCATCTCAGACAGCACTTTCTTGTAGGAAATAAATTCTTTGTCCTGGCCATACACACTATCCTGGTGCACCTAGACAGTACAAGTGAACATCAAAAGAAAAAGTGAAAAGTGAAAACCTGCACAACTCCTCCAAAGGGCAAGGGCTAAACTAAAACAATGAGGTTTTATGATATTTTTATTACTACATGCTGACCTCTAGCTGCTTTTATAACAGCCCACTGCTTTCTGACCTTGGAACTATGATCTTGAAGGATTACATACTGAAATTATGTATTTTATTGTGTATGATTTTCTGAAACATTATAGCATCATTGTGGTAATAAAAACTGTTGTATAACTCTCTCCAGGCCCTTTTTAATATGACATATTACTTAACATGGTTTCTTGAAGTCAACCTTGGATGCTAACAATGAAAGTTTGAAGACAATCTATAAAAAATTGTGGGTAATATAAGGTTTTTTTTTTACAGATTTTTATATTTGGTTTTCACTTGATTTTCACAAACATTAAGTCAGCTCGAGCTGTTACTGGTAGCTACCATCACACAAACTTTGTACATGATATTTTGAAAACTGTGGAGGTTAGACTGCTAACAAACAGGCAGACAAAAACAGCCAGACTGATGATGTACTCTTTCTCTTTGAGGGGAGAGTAAACGTTTTGCTTGTGGTCACCTCTTCAGCCAGTATGATGAGGCCGTTGGTAGCAGCAAAGTGAATCACCTTCTCAATAGTTTCTCTGTCTTGCACGTAACCTAGCAGGGGGAAAGTCACATTATTGAATGAGCTTCTATGAAGTAGCTGTAGACCACAAATCCACAGGTGCAGTGCAAACAGCTAGAAAGAGACTCACATTTTAGTTTTTATTTAACTCTTAGGCTTTAAGACAGTTGACTTCTTAGCATAATATAGTTTTAAAAAGAGGACGAGGATTCTCTTAATGTATACATGAATATAGAATAAATCAAAAGCTGTGCAGGATGTACCAACAATGGGCTGCTCACCTGTAGGATTTCCTGGGTTGCTGATGTATATGGCTTTGGGCTCACAGTGGACTCTTCCAGCCTCTAAAGCTCTATGCAGCTCATCCAGGTTTACAGCCCAGCCTTGTTCTTCAAAAAGACGGTATGGAACCAGTGCCAGCCCAGTCATGTCCAGCAGCATGGGCAGAGTATGTGGACAGGGCATGGGGGTCAGCACACCTGTCTGAGTTTTGCCCTCTCCGCTGGTAAGCAGGTTCAAAAACACCTTTAGTGCAAAAAATATGTTGTTTTTGTTATAACAATAATAATAATAATAATAATAATAATAATAATAATAATAATAATAATAATAGATGAAAATAGTGGGTAGTTTTGTGCATGATCAAAAGATGTGGTTGCAGCAAAGTGGTGAATTCACAGTAAGGAATGGTGTGGGACTGATACACAGTGGCGGTGGTGCTCATGGTCAGTGTTCGGTTACATCAAGCATAGCAGAGATTAATTTTAATTTAAGCTGAAGAGAGTTGATTACAGCTTAGACTCATTCACTCAAGTCCTCCTTTATGCCAATTATATACTATGATAAAGACACTGTTAGTCTAGGAAATAGAAATCAGTCTAAATAGCTGTTTTTTAATTTTCATTCACTGCTTGTATCCTAGATAACAGATTCAAGCTAAGTACATTTGTATTCTCGTGTGCTGATATTAATAATATTTTTATATTAAGATACCAGCAGGTTCGGTTACCTTTTGTATAAAAATAGATGGTAGAATTGTCCTTCAAGGAGCTACCTTTTACTTTCTTACTCTGAGTACATTTCAGAGTCTGCACTTGTTCGCTTCTGCAACTTCTTAAGTGAAGAAGTTGCAGAAGTACGTTAACTTTTACTGCATTTTACTTTTCCTTTTTCTTGGCTTTGCCAAGTGGTTACATTTCTGGTGGTTACAAGTTAAAGGAATGGTTGGCCTGCATCTCACAATCAGGATTAAAGTGTCTGTCAGAGTCCAGAGAATAAGAATGATTTGCTAAGAAACACACCACATCGCTCACAGATTACATCTGGTGGAACACCTTTCCAAGAATTGGTCAATTTTTAAGCATTTCTTAAGTAACTAATAAATTATACAAAGCAGAAAGATATAGCTTTATTTAAAAAAGCAAACAAAAAGAAACCTTCATTAAAATGTTCAATATAAAGTGTCACACCGACAAACTCTTCTGTAAGCCAGTAGTTAACATGATGTCTTCTGGATGAGAAGGCACGCCACCATCTCGCCTTGTGATAAATTCAGATATGCTTTTCTGGACTTGTGGTAAACCACTGGAGGTTGTGGAGTATGAACCTGTCACAGGCAAAGTGATTAGACTGGCCAGCAGAAGCATTTATACTCACTTTGTGCATTGCTTGCAGATTTAATTGTTTTTTCTCACCCACACTCCCTCCAGAACACATGTCCAGAAGCTTCTGTGCCCTCTGCCTGACATCCAGAGGAAGGCTTTTTTCTTTGAGGAGCTCAGGGTACAGACACACTGCCATAACCTAAGAAAGCAATCAGAAAGTGATGTGCTCAGGTTGACAGAGAAGTGCAGGTAAAATTCACAGATGATACATAAAACACCAACCTGGCGAATAAATGAGATAGGTGGCATTCCTGCCTTGTGTGGATCACCTGAGCTGACATCAATCACACTCTTGAAGGGTTTTTTTACACCCTGGAAAAATACATCAGTGTTTATCAATATTGACAGTTTTTAAATTGACAGCTAAATTCTATCTATGCCAATCATTTACTTCTCTCTTTAACCCTTTGACATTTGGTTTTCCCTTGGCTAACTTGAGATGCTGCGAGATAGAGAATAAATTAAATATTAACCATATATGACATAACCATAGCTTATACTTGTGTTTAAAAATGTACACTCGTCCTTGACGTGGAGGTCAAGGAAATGCTGGCCTTTCAGTTTTTTGAATAAGTAGAAGAATAAGAGAGCACAAGGGAAAAAATAGTCTGATCTGTGGCCTTAATATTTATTTGGTTTTCAGACTTTTCATTTGTAGTAACTATCAAGTTACTATATATATATATATATATATATATACATACATACCACAGGTGGATATAATCCTTTGACAAAAGAGGATAAGCTGCAGATGTGTGGTTGACCAAATTGAATGACTAGCAGTTTAATTTACTATTAAACTGCTACACATGACTTGTAATTTATACTGTCTCTCAACTTCTTTACAGCTCACTCACCTGTGCAATCTGCTCTGAGATGCATGCTGCTAGACCCTGCAGGTTCACTGGGGCTCGTATCCCACGCACCCTGGGATTCACGTCCTGCACAGTGCTCATCTCTCCTGATTCGACTGTCTAACTGATCAAGGTCCAGTGAGAGGCCTGGAAATACACTCAGGAGGCGGGTACTTTGTAATTAGAATACCCGCCTCCTGATGAGTCTGCTCTTTAAGAGAAGACGGTGCTAGATTATTCAGCACCTTTTAAATTCAGATTTAGAAAGGAGCAAATGAGGAGAAACTAATACGGAAGAAATATACTCTTTCCTTCAAAGTTGCTGCTGACTGGTAAACTCCAGGCTAATCACAGTTTGCCAGTGGTAATGCTATAGTGTTATCTGATTATATCTGAAGTTTTTGTGCCTTAATTGTTAAACTGCCTTTAATATCTGAAACTGTCCATATGACTTTTTCAACTGTGACACTTTTTGTATAAATAAATCTTAAAAATGAATTTTACATTCTTGGATATCAGCATATGTTTGAATCGAATCCTTTGTAGTTTTTCTGCAGTCTGTTCATTTTGTTCGCTTTTAAATGTTTACCAGAGAAGTCTACTATTCTTAGTACTTGAACTTGTTCATTTAAGACTTTTCCTACTTTAAAAACAAAAGAAATGTTTTAACCTTGTGACAAGCAGCACAGTCTGGAGTTTAAATATAAAACTAACTGCTTGTTACTGACTGACATAATGGGCCTTAAGTTCAGAAGTATAATCATATACAGCAAAATAAAATCTTTTATTATTCCTTGGTGTAATAACTTTTTAAAGAGTTAGTACAAGCAGATATTGTCATGACTTTTTTAAAAACTGAATATATTTTAATCTGGGAGTATTTCCTGTAATTATATCTATTGTCGCTCTATGAATTATGTTAACTTTGCAGTTTCAATCTGTCTTCCAATTGCAATGAGCTGCAGGAGAATAGCATGTACTATACAGAAATGTTAAATTCTAATAGTAAAACTCAACCGCATCAGTTTTTGTAGGCTACAGACGATTGGTTAGCTGGCATGTAATTGTCATGTTTTATTTTGATAGTCCCTGTCCTGTGCTCAGTATGGCACCGGTTCTGACATAAATGGTAGTAACCAGACCGAAAAGCAGCGCACATTTCGGTGCTTTTTTTTTCCTGA